GACTGAAGGGAGTAACCCCCCAAAACTGAAAGAGGCTGCGGTGAAGTATGGGTTTTAGGGATGTAACGATTCACTCAACTCACGATTCGATTCACTTTTTCTTTTTTTAACAAAATGAGATTTAAGACAAATTATAAATTAAATGTGTCCTTTTATTATTGTTTGGACAAAATGCTGCACATTTCTTTGTGAAATTGAAATATAACACTATAATAATATACTAATATAGCACTTGCATATTACTGCTCTTTTGTTGGTTTTGATTGCTTCTATTGTCCTCATTTGTAAGTCGCTTTGGACAAAAGCGTCTGCTAAATTACAAAATTTAAATATAATGTAAATGTAAATAACAAAACTACATTGAAATTTTAAAACAAATCAAATATATAAGTAACACAAATAAAATAAATCTCTTCATATAAACAAACTAAGGCTTTGTCGGTGCTCTTTCCATTTAAAATTAGAGGCAACCACTGCATTTTAATCATGATCCAAACAAAGATGCTGCATACATGCAACATGAGCAGTTTTTAATCTAAATTAGACTGTATAATTTTGAAATTTGAAGCAAAAACAGAATGTTTTGACTTCAGTTTTATGAAACTATACATAAAAATATCTGCATGAAACAGCGGATGAGCTGAATGAGACGCAGATTCACTCTCTGCCAGCAGGTGGCGCTTAAAGCATTTCCTTGGTTTCTGCTGTAAAAGCAGCGCTGATTTTAGGACCTTAAAATGCGTTATACAGAGGCAAGATGAAAAGAAAAAATACTATCTAAACTTTTCTAAAGACAGTAAGTTCCCCTCAGACATGCATTCATATAAACTCCTACACCTAAATGAATCGCGATTTGTTTAGCATTTGAATCGATTTTCAACCGGCTCGCGGTTAATCGTTACATCCCTAATGGGATAACATCTCTGCCACAATTCTGTACTTGAAAGATCATATTTTGAGCGCGCAAAAGTGCGTTTTACACACACGCGAACTGAGTTTTGTGGAGAAAAATGTTCGTCTCGCAAAGAAAAAAGTATTTTGAGCGCACGAAAATCAATTTTGCATTTAAAATAAGTTTTTGGATTTGTGCAGACCTTCTCCTTTGCGCGTGCAATGTTTCACTAGCTTGCTCACTTGATGCCCACCCTCAGTGCTCTCTAAATGCCAACAGCTGCTTGCTCAACACAACCCAGCATTACAATGTGCCATAATTCCAGCCAATCAGAGATGAGGCTGCTAAATTCTGATTGGCTGCCTTGACAACCAATCACAACATTTCTTTAATAAAGATTATTGTTGTTTGGAATTGGTAAAATGTGCTTGGAAAAAAATATAATCAGAATATCAACTTGCATAATAATTATGCATGCACTGTATTTTTCCTCTTCTGCTGTCGTGGCAATGCAAAAAATGTTGTGAATGGTTGTCAAGGCAGCCAATCAGAATTAAGCAGCCTCGTCTCTGATTGACTGGAATTATGGCGCATTGTAACGCTGGGTTGTGTTGAGCAAGCGAGCCGTTGGCATTGAGAGAGCACTGAGGGTGGGCATCAAGGAAGCAAGCTAGTGAAACGTTGCATGCGCAAAAGAGAAGGTCTGCACACATCCAAAAACTTATTTTAGCCTCGTCTCTGATTGACTGGAATTATGGCGCATTGTAACGCTGGGTTGTGTTGAGCAAGCGAGCCGTTGGCATTGAGAGAGCACTGAGGGTGGGCATCAAGGAAGCAAGCTAGTGAAACGTTGCATGCGCAAAAGAGAAGGTCTGCACACATCCAAAAACGTATTTTAAATGCAAAATTTATTTTTGTGCGCTCAGAATTGCGGTTTTTTCTTTGCGAAACGAACATTTTCTCCACAAAACTCAGATTGCGCTCGTGCAAAATGCACTTTTGTGCGCTCAAAATATGATCTTTCGCGCGCAGAATTGTGGCAGAGATCGAAGCCTATAGAAAAGCATCACAAAAGAAGAATGCAAAAGTTTGGTGATGTCAGTGGGTCACAGGCTTGATGCAGTTATTGCAAGCAAAGGATTTGCAACTAAATATTAAGTCTTATTCACTTTAATTTAGTTTAGGTCAATCTGTTCCAATACTTTTGGTCACATGAGCAATGGGTGGGTTCAAACAAAAGGTGCTATTTTCTAAGTTGTGTATCAGATCCAGATTAAATATTTGTCCCACAATTGTCTCATATTCATCTTTTGATGTCAAACCCAAATGTTTTCAGTCTACAGCAAAAATAAAGGAATTGGCCTCACTGTTCCAATACGTATATATATATATATATATTTCTAATTTAAATGTTATTTATTCCTGTGATGAATTTTCAGCAGCCATTACTCTAGTCACATGATTGTTCAGAAATCTAATATGTTGATTTGCTGCTCAAATTTGAATTACATGTTCTTCTGTCCATCACAACCTTATTTTCATTTGTGTTCTCGTCTGGAGAAAAATGGCATCTACTCAGACTAAGGTCCATTAGAAAGTTTATTCTGTTTGACAACATCTTGTTTAAAGACTGATTTAAGCTTCAGGCGCTGTGTCATACAGGTTTAATATAATTCTGGTATGATTGTAATGAGTGAACTTGTTAAAAGTAACATGTACAGTACGGACCGCTGCACTGACCTCCCGCTTACTTTAATAGCATTAAGATGGATTAGACCACAGCATAAGATCTAATTAACTAAACTGTGCCTGCTCGGGTCATGCATTCGGTCCCACCAGCATTAACTGCACGCTCTATTCCACACGTAAAACACTATCCTGCGCTAAACGTTCTCGTTTGTCCTCTTTCACTTTCTCTTTGACAGCCAACTTCCATACAGGTTTAATATAATTCTGGTATGATTGTAATGAGTGAACTTGTTAAAAGTAACATGTACAGTACGGACCGCTGCACTGACCTCCCGCTTACTTTAATAGCATTAAAATGGATTAGACCACAGCATAAGATCTAATTAACTAAACTGTGCCTGCTCGGGTCATGCATTCGGTCCCACCAGCATTAACTGCACGCTCTATTCCACACGTAAAGCACTATCCTGCGCTAAATGTTCTCGTTTGTCCTCTTTCACTTTCTCTTTGACAGCCAACTTAATTTTAAGGGATGTCACAGGAAGCCATATGCTTTATTCAGTATGATGAAGCATATTTCACAAATGGATTTGGTTACATTTAACCATTACATATACACAGGGCCGCATTAACCGTTGGGCTAGGCGGGGCTGAAGCCCCGGGGCCCGGACAAGGAGAGGGCCTGTGATTGGCTGTGGAGTAGATTGACTGGTCATCGGTAGCGCTGATTGCCGAAGCCCCTCTCCTCACTTATTAGCGATATTATTTAGTGGAGCTTTTCCATATATTCCATGCATTACCGTTAGAGATTAAAAGTCACGTTCGTTGGTTTACCAATCAAATGCATTTATTCTGTATTTTTACTTTTGAACGACCCTTGCACCACGTATAAATCAGGTGATCGCTGCAATGTTCGCATTCACCTCTCTTCACTTTGTTCTGGCATAACCTGGAAATGGTCATGCAAAGAACAATCTTCGATAAGTAAAAATGGAAACTATTCTAAAAAGAAAGTGAGAGAGGGGCTATTCTAAAAAAAAAAACGAGGACATTAGTTAGTGAGTCAGTAAAATCCCCAGCTATCAGGTTATTTTACTAAAGCTGATGATGGAGTAGCAAGTGGACCGGGCACATGGAGCAGATAAAATCACAGCGTCATCGTCCCCACAGATTTTAGTTTGATTAACAAGTTAAAAACTTGATGGATGTATATTGCTTTTTGTGTTTGAACAAAGTATATTCGCTTATGGTTTGAGAGATAAACCGGTAGAAATATATCAATCGTTTTGCGCGGCATGATGTAGGTTAAGCTTTTCATTTAAACGCATTTTAAGCATTGTGGTTTAAAAACAAATTGAACTGTTCCGGGATATTAAGCAGTGGGGCAGAATTCATTTTGGCAAATGCACGCATTAAGACTGTCACGGCCTGATTCGCGTGGCGCGCACCTGCTCTACAGTGCCAGTCTTGAGTTATTTTTTGCGCTTTGTGCTTAAACGTTCAAATGCACAGTTATGTGTCAATGTCTCCTCGTCAACACAGTCATTTGTGTCTTAAATGAACGTTAATAGTTAAATATAAAGCATGTGTAGTAGTAGGCTATATGTGATATATATATGTATATCATTTCATGACTGCCTGACTTTTGTGAAACACAAAAGAAGTTGTTTAGCCTGATGTTTAAAGGGATAGTTCATCAAAAAATGAAAATTCTTTCATTTTTTATTCACCATCAAGTTGGTAACAAAACTGTTAATGGTAGCAATTGACTTCTATGGTATGAAATAAAATCCCTACCAGTAACTGTACCAACAATCTTAAAAATATCTTATTTTGTGTCCAACAGAAGAAGGAAACTCATGAAGGTTTTGAACAACTTTTAAGCTGCTCTTTTCCAAGTAAAGAGTGACCATGCAGTGTTTCCCCTGACATTATATTAGGGGGGCGGCCCACCCCCCCAACGGCATTTCCTAACCCTAACCCTAACCCTAACAAGTTAATTTCATTTTATTTTCTCTATAGCGCCAGATCACAACAGAAGTAATTTAAAGTTACCTTTGCTATAGAACATGTCTATACCTTGTTCTTTTATTAAACAAACTAAATAGCCTTGTTATTTATCTTATTTACACGACGGCATGTCATTTCTGTCTCTACGTTACATGGTCGCGCTCTCTGTATCGCGCACAGCGGAGTTCCGCCCCGATGCGCGCGCACACACAAACGTACGCGCACACACCCACTCCCACTAGTATTTGTAAATATTAAGCAAAACGACTATTTAAATATGAATTCTGCATGTCTATGTGTTAATGAATGGCGCAGACGCGCGGTTTTGTGTACTACTCGTACTGAAGCGCGCGTGGCGCTTCCGGTGATATTGACGTCTGTCGTCTCACTAATGAGGACATAAATAACGTTACATGAACAACATCTCCAGAACTGCTCTGAGAGTCACTTCATGAGCATTTGACCATTTCATTTGAGTAAAACTATCCTCATATCATATACACACACAGAAATGTAAAGGTATTCACGGCAACCCGTCAAAATAAACGTTTGATTTAACTTGAAGACATTGCAGCAGAAATATATTAGCCTACTATTGTTCAGTAGAATGTACGTAATAGGCTACTACTACTACTACTACTAAAATTATTAAAACCTTATTTTTAAGGACTAATCATACAATATTTCTTCAATGTTTTAATTGTAATATTAAATCCCTTTTATTTTCCAAAAAATAAAATTAGTTTGATTTTCATTAATTAAAAGATAAATTAAATGAATGTTTTATGCCTTAAAAATGTAAATACACAGAATTTCTGAGGGAAAAAAAATCATAAATCATATTGTAAGTATAAATGAAACTTGTTTTTATGCTTTCAAATAATTAGACATGCTAAAACACAGAATTTGGTAACAATAAGACATGTAAAAAGGTTGTAAAAAATAAAGTTTTTGGGCCCTAAACGTAATTTTTGTTAAACTTTTAATAAATTGATGTTAAACTGTTTAAGTTTCATGATTTTAATTAATTATATACATGCTTTTTGATTAATAAAATTTAATTTAACCATTAAAAAGGAGTCCAGAAAAATTAAAACGGAAAAAAACGGAATCTAAACCTTGGGGAAACACTGCCATGGCTGTCAAGAAAGATTTTCAAACCAGTGTTTTTAATGAATGATTTTAAATTTTGGTCTGTTCCTCACACAAAGCTATTGTGCTGCTTCAGAACACTTGGCATATAGTGCATGAATCATATAGACTACTTTCATTTACCTTTTTGGAGCTTGACAGACCTAGTCCCCTTTTACTTTGTGTATAGAAACATCTACTTTTCTGATTCATTGGAGAAAGAAAGTAAGTCATGTTTGGAGTGACATGAGGGCGAGTAAATGAAGACAGACTTTTGTTTTTTTTGTTTTATATTGCTTAAGGTTTTAGATCTCAGATAGGATTTTGTTATCTTTGTTCATGCCTTTGTGCCAGACACATACAGCGATCTAATCGTAACAGACGTAGATCAGTGAGTCAGGTCTTTTTATTGCCAGTTTTAACTCCTCAGCTTTATGTGCTTTGATATCTTTATACTTTTCTTGTTTTTCCTGCCATCTGAGTAACTTGGCTGATTATTGTAATTAGTAAGGACCAGGATGGGTTTTCACAGGCATGTAGCTCTGCACAGAGCTGTTGTTTTGAAGCTGGTGTTTAGGGGAGTGTCAAGATAATATGGGAGGAAGCTTTAGTATTGGTCGACCCACCTTCACCCCCCATTCCTTATTGCTCACAATGTGTTGCTTTGTATCCGCACTGCTGTTTTCTTCTCTATCTAAATATGTTTTCCATGTAAACTAAAACCTGTAATTGCCATTAGTGTTTAATTTATTTAATTATGTCCTTGGAGACCTTCGACCTCAGTGTGTGTATGGAAGTCATCAGTGACTCTGTTCATTGTGGAATGTGTGCTTTGCAGGATTGAAGCACACAAGATAAGTTACATTGCCTCTATGTGTCTCTATGTTTTCAAGAGCTGTTGTGACTGACAAAGTGTGTACTCTTCTCTCAGCCTCCCTTGCATTCTCTGCGCAGACAAGCGTGTGAAATTGGTGTGGACACAGCAGGCGTTTACACAGACCACACATGCGTTCACACACGTCCCACCCTCACACTACGAGCCGGCTGAATGAAGTTAGCTTTAAATTGCTTGGTGTTTTCTTTCCTTGTTCACATCATTCTTGTGACGCAAGCAGCTTTTGCTTCCCAGAAGCCTACCTTCAACACAATAACTCAAGCATGGGTGGCAGATTTAACTTTTAAGCTTTCCCTAAAGCATGCCTGAGACTGTTAAGATGCTATTTATGTGTTTGTTAAAAGCACGCCGGTTTTCTCGCAGTTTGTTCGCAGTGTCAGATTGGTTTACGTGGAGTTTAAGAGGGCTGCTCAGCAGAAGTTTGGAATGTGTGTACTGGAACCTAAGAACACCACTGCCGCTTTTTTACTCTAGTGGTTTTGTTTTAAAAATCCCAATGTAAAATATGCCTCCGTGATGCTAGATTTCTCTGGGTGGATAAATCGGTACCATGTTGGTTATCCACCAGTATTATGAGATTTTCTTTTCAGTATTGAACAATAAAATAATTGTGTGTGCATGTTTCCCTTATTTTTGCATTTTAGGGTGTTTTCAGACCTGTACATTGTTTGCTGTTGCGAAACAGGGACTTAATTTGTTACAATGCAGCATTTTGTTCTTGGTTCGGTTCGCTTTCACAAGCCATCATTGCAAAGCGTACCAAACTTTGTTTATGGAAGTCACATGTGAGTAAAACTGTCCTCTTATTGGTCAGAGTTCACCTGTTTACGTTCCTCTGCATCAGTCATCAAGATGCATTGACCAGTTCGTTCCGCAGGCTTAATGTGGCGTTATCTTTAGTTGTGACATTCGCAAACACTTACATGAATGTAGCCGTCATTCCCACTCTAAATGATAAATTACATATAAAAATTATATTTACCAGTTAGAGTGGGAATGACGGCTTTAATTTAAATTATTTTAAATATGTATATAATTTTAAATATTATAATAAAATATTTTATATATTTTTTAAAAAATTATAATGTTAAATATTATAATTATGTGGTATAATTATATTTAAATTATAATATTTAAAATGAAATTATAACATTTAATGCAGTGGGGATCAAGGCTTCGTTGGGACAGCGTTCTTGTGAGAAGAGCAATTACATAGCGTTTTAGGATTTGCATTAACTAATGTGCTCATTCACTGAATCAGACACTGCTGCTTTTTATATAACATATTTCCCATTCTGAATTATGATACCACTTGATTTGTTGAGTCCATTTGCAATCGGGCTAAGACCAACTCGTTCAGGCGATCTTGGACCTATTATTTTGGTGGTTCCTCAAAATAAATACATAAATATATATTTCATACAGTACATTAGAAAATTATAATGCCTAAAATTAGCTTGTAGCATGTAAAATGATATATTTCAGTTTTAGTGTTTTTTTTTGTTTACTTTTACTTATTTATTTTTTAGTAATAAAGATATGTTATCAATATCATTGGTCCCTCCCTGGACCCCTTCCAGTTTGCATATCAGTCCAAACGCTCGACCGATGACGCCATCGCCACTACCCTCCACTCAGCACTTACACATCTGGACAAAAAA